ATTTCTGTACATCTGTATCTTGTTTTGGGAACTCCATATATATTGTACTTTAGTTGACGGAAGAAAATAAAAAGTAGTTTGCGTTATTTTCAGTTAATATAAAATTGGCGTATTTAAATTACTTTAAAGATTAGTTTCAACATCTCAGCGTGATGATTGCGGTCTAGTAGTTAGCATACTGGATTGTGGATCTGGAGTTCAGAACATATTATCGCCACAAAATGTAAATATAAATATATACATCACAGACATGCCAAACAACATGTAACAAAAACATGTTATAAGATACATTACAGTTTTCAATATCTTAAGAATATAGATAAGAAAATGTTTAACATTTTCATACTTGGCATGTTAAGATTTTTTAGCAAGTATCTTGCATTTAAAACTTTGCTATAATTGTCGCAACAAAACTCCGAGAACAACAACAATTTTTTTTCTGTACCGAAAAAACGAAGTAAATGTATCCGATCACATTAAAGGACAATTTGTATAAAATGAGAGGAAGTGACTTTTTTTTACTCCCCAGAGAAAATTTTATTCACGCATACTCGGTGTTTGTGAGCCAGTCTATATAAATGTAATAGTACTCTTTGTTTTCTGTTGGCCCAGCATGGCCAGATGGTTAAGGTTTTCGACTCGCAATCTGAGGGTCGCGAGTTCGAATCCTCGTCCCATCAAACATGCTCGCCCTTTCAGCCGTGGGGGCGTTATAAAGTAACAATAAATCCCACTATTCGTTGGTAAAAGAGTAGCCTAAATTGGCGGTGGATGGTGATGACTAGCTGCCTTCCCTCTAGCCTTACACTGCTAAATTAGGGGCGGCTAGCGCAGATAGCCCCTCGTGTAGCTTTTCGTGAAATTAAAACAACCAACCAAACCAATTATTTTCTGTTGTATGCCCATGTAATTACTTCGCAGGGTGTACATCGATCTTCACTAAAATTGGTATGGAGGATCATGGGGAGATACATACAGATTTTCAGTTTTGCATTTTGCGGTTTTTATAGACGTTTTTTACCACGACCAGTAGATGGATCTTCACTAATTGTAGTATGGAGGTTTATAATTTATTAATTCGTAGTTAACAAAAAACAATGTTCCTGCACAATGATAAAACCATATATATAGGAATCTAAGTATTTACTGACCTGAATGTCTTTGTTGTCTCTTTGTACAATGGCCATTAAACACAAACACGGGATATTCAACTCAGTAAGAGGAACTGTTTCTATTCGGTTGTAGTTGGGTACAAATAAGATCCAGCGCAAGTTTTGAAAACACGGTATTTTGAATAATGACTGAAAATAAAGTTGGAAATTTGTTAAAATTTATTAAAGTCGTGATAATAGTAAGCAACATCAAATGTATTTCTGAAGAGATTAAAAAGTTGACAATAATTTATATGTAAATCTATCGAGTCATCTGAACTCAGACGAAAGACCCTCACTCGAATGTCCAGATTATATGAACTGTTTCAAGCTCAACAATATCTTGGAGTGATACTCAACATTCAAATATCCATTTTAGCATTATTAGTATAAAGTGATAATTATAACTTTTCAGGCTTAGGTAGCATATTATTTTTGTTTAGTTTTTTTTTGTCAGAAATATATTTTATGGTAGTTTCAGCTATTTGTATTGAATTAATTACAGTTTACGGTTTTGCACACCAAATTGATAATAGAGGAATAAAAAGTATTAAATATAAACATAAACTCATTCGATGTTCATTCAAGGACCTGATTGTATGGCGGAAGTGAAGAGAGAAATAACGCTGCTGATAAGTTATCAGTGTTATACTAAAATTTACATGGTTTTGATCACAAAATATAAATACTTAAGGTTTGTTTACCAATTATTTATAATTGCTTTCCAATTTGTTGTTTGAAGTAAAATTTTACCCATCATTGTATTTTTTCCTATCATTGAAGTTCAATCCATGAGAGCCAGCTTTGATCAACTGTCAGATCAGAATGTCCAAGATCCTTCTAATTCAGAATGCCAAGGTCTCTTTGTAAAGTTATTAGATAAAGATTGCAACAGATATTAGAACATAATAAGGAGACTTTGCTTGATAAAGGAATCCCAGCCCGCAAACAAACAAAATATTTTATATTTGATTTTGATGAACCAACTAATGTTGCTAACTTATTTAAACTGATAAATATTATATTAATTGATCTGAAATTACACAATACAGGTAACTCAATTTCTGTAAACACGTAAAACCTGAAACACGTTATTTGTTGTTCACTATTTATTGTTTGACACATTAACTACACTAATTTATGTTGTATTAAACTGTTTTTCAATTATTGATTAGTCGCATTAATAAACTACACTTCATATATTAATATTAAGTATTGTCTCTCACCCTACCCAGTGATTCAGTCGAAGTCTGAGAGGTTATAGAACTGAAAATCAGATTTCAATATCCGCAGTGGACAGAACATAACATAGTTTCAAAAATATTAAGTATTTTTAAGTGCCTTCCATCTAACTGAACAACCTGACCTGAAGTAAAGACTGTTCTTGGCTCGATTCAAGGAACAAGAAGACAAAGGATTTCGATGAGATGTATCCTGTGGCTCCATCATACGGCAAGAGTTGGCTGCGTAACATGCTTTCAGTAAGATTAGTCATTTCTTCTGATACATAAACAGTAGTGGTAACTCCAGTGTTTTGAAGACTAGAAGAGACGCTATCGTAATCATTAGCTTCTATATCTGTGTGGAAACAGAGAAATCAGACAGAAGATGAGTGTATCCAATCATACACATACATACGTATTGAAGTATGACACTGCCAGTTCTAAAGAGCCGGTTCCATAACTGGAATGTATTTCATTTAGTAACACATGTTTTGGTTTCTTAACGAAACGCCAATGACACATGTTTGACAACTTACTGACATTTGGTGGAAACAGTAAAGTCACGTGACGAATAAGAAGTAGCTGAGCTAGGTCGACCACGACTTCAGTTAGAATCATTGAGTTCTGGTATTTGGAATGATTATTTACTGTAGAGGGTCTTGGATAAGAAGACTCTGCGTAAACAAAACAGAAAAAAAATGGTTTTCGTCATTTCACCTATATGGAATAAATAAAGTCAATAAAAATCCGTAGAGGGCTTATGGACGTTAATGTAATGTTAATTTTAGTTTTATAAAATATAATTTAAAAAAGATTCAAAACATATAGTATTTATGTTCTCAGTTTCTAGAAGAAACAATAACTTAACTTAAATAGTATTATGTACTTACAATACTTCTATAGAAACCTATACATGTTGAACTCGTTCATTTTAGTGTCTGAAATATAATACCAAAAATATGGCACCAAAACCTTCAGTACTTAGATTATTAATTCTTGGATCAAATGTTAAAAATAATCTCGAAGACTGCAATACAAATATAGTTTACCGTTGTTACACTTATTTTCTAGTGAACCTGATGAAATGTGCATTTTGTGTTGTTGCTCCGAAATAAAACACCAAACAAATCCTTTCAAACTGTTATTTTTATATTCATTTCTAAAGATGAATAAAAGTGAAATATGTTTGCAGGACTAGTGATCCTAATTATGTATCTAATCTAGCTAACCCTTTACTGGAGGCTTTCAACAAGCATTAACACTCGTAGTATTGTGTTACAGTTCTGTATTCAAAGTTTAAAACAATATAGACATTACATCAAGACTGAAAACCTAGTAGTGGCTTCAATAATGACATTTTGTATTCGATGTATCTAGGATAATCGTGGAACTTACGTGAATACTAAAATGTGTACAGTTAGTTGTAGTACAGTAACATTCATAGACTTTAAACGTAAAAAAATATATAAAATGGGCAGTCTGTATATTTGTAAAGCTGAATGTTTTGAATGACCAGTATACAAGTAAAATATCAATTTAATTTATATTATATCTAAGAAATCAGTCACACATAAGATGACTACTATATTTACATCATTAGAAGGTTTCGGTTGCAAATATTACATTTTTACATGGAAACAAGAATTATGTGTTATAGATACGCTAAACATATTTTACGTTAAATCTGACTTAAAGAGAACAATAACTTACCCTATGTTATTGAGTGGACAGTGTATACAGCCGTAACTATAATCAGTAATCCTGCGATTATGTATCTTGGCAACATCACTTTGTCCTATGTTATACTCTTTAGTCAAAGAACAAATAATAAAAACAAACCACCAACCTGTAATTAACAATATCAATTTCACAGCTAAATCAAAGTGTAAAATAATATTTCAATAAAAACAAAGAAAACATGTAACAAAACATTCTGCTCAAATAATACTTAACATTAGTTTGTTATAAAGCCTAGTCACAAACAACGACAAAGTATTTATATCATTCAGATACTGAATTACTTTACGTTAAAACCACACAATCCAAAACAAGATGGCACCGACCAAGAATAATAACACAAAGGATGTACAAATTAGATCTTGCCTTATAATCCATATATTTTCCTGGTCAAAACCTGTGCTGTTTCGGTGTAAATCCAGTAAAATTAAAACATGTTAAGGATCTGAAGTAGTTGGTTGCATTTAATGTGTATGGTTTGCACACAGCACGAGCCAGTCCTCACGTTCCTTTAAGATCATGCGTAGTTACACAGTCAGTTTTTCCATGAGTGCTTAAGCTTAAATATATTTCAAAATAAGTCGAGAAGCAAGAAATGCTGGATGGTCGATTGAGCTACGTATGCCTCATTAATAGTGTTTTCAGCCCCTGCTGTTTCAGCCATGACGTCAAATCAGCAAATAAACAGGTTGGCTACATGTTGTTAATCTGTATAAGGAAATAATTGTTACTAAGACAACCTGAGAATGTAGGTAATGTAATATATATATATTTGTACCACGGTTAACCATTTACATATAAATTATAATTTTAAAAATTTACCAAATAATTCCCTTATTTTTAAGAGAGCAACATCTACTCATTGAAACTGTACCTTACAAGTTAATTATATAAATATGAAACTATAATATTTAATCTTGATACCTAATCTAAAAGATTAATAATACCCTTTACTGTGCATTCATACATAATATGACAGTTCAATAATACCCTTCATTGTGCAGTAATACATAATATGATAGTTTAATAATACCCTTTACTGTACAGTAATACATAACATGACAGTTCAATAATACCGTTTAGTTTGTCAGCTGAATGTGTATTAACACATATTTCAAAAGTTTAATGATACATTTTACTGTCATTAATGCATAATTTTCCAGCCTAATAATACAGTTTACTTTGTTGGCTCTGCATTAATACGCTTGATATTGTTAGAATCAAAAGTGAGCAATGGTAGTAAAGCTAAAAAAAGGATATGCTCAAAGTTCTTATCGTGAATATGATAATTAGTTCAAACACGTTGATAACAGAACACTCTAAGTAGCAGGAAAAGATACAAAATATTCTAAAGTCTCCAAAGTAAACAACTGACATGTGTTCCCTCTCGTAGTTTACCTATAATGAAAACGATGAATTGACTATTATTCTCCACAATTAGTCTTGGAGATTAACTAAATGAGAATTGAACAATATGAATCAGAGCCCATTTAAACATTTGAAGGTGATATTAAAGAGTGGGTGTGCTTAATACATGAAAAGTAAAAAAAAAATCAAATCAGACTATTAATGTTAACCATGTACTGAAGAAATCTAGATTCTGCTAATGTCCCATGGTTGGTGAACTGTAAGTTTGAAATCAACACGTCCATAGAAATTTCTCTCGTCGAAGAGTCAGCTCGTTTATACCAAGATTAACGTAAATCTTTGGTCCTTTTGATTCATTAAGGAACTCCAACTGTTATAAACTTACAACCAAATTATCTCCTAGAAGTGGGCCCGGCATGGCCAGGTGGTTAGGGCTCTGAACTCGCAATCTGCGGGTCGCGGGTTCGCCCTTTCAGCCGTAGGGACGTTATAATGGGACGATCAATCCCACTATTCGCTAGTAAAAGAGTATCCCAAGAGTTGGCTGCCTTCCCTCTAGTCATACACTGCTAAATTAGGGACGGCTAGCGCAGATAGCCCTTGGGTAGCTTTGCGCGAAATTCAAAACAAACAAACCTCCTAGAATGTAGAAATAAAAAAAAGAAACTGTTGCTGTTTAGCTATTTTCAACATATCCTACACATTTGAATATAAAACATAGATTTAGTAATAATTCACAGGCCTGTGATGGTTGTATTGTCTTGAAATTTTAACATGTTCTACAGTAATTCCTGTACGCTAAATCCGAAAAGGATGACCATTTTTCTCCATCACGTACAGATTTTTCACAAAACGTTATATGTACTTTTACATAATTGAATCATTTTCATTGAAATGGGATCACATTTTTTATGCTTAAAACGTTGACAACCGCTGGCTATAGATTTCTATAGACCAATAGCGACCTGAGGGTCTTATCAATCGTTCTAGAACCTACGAGAAACACGTTGCTAATATATAAACGGTTAACAGACAGCATGACGTGTCATTTCTGGATAGTATTTGTTTGTCTGTGCACTTTGACATTATTTTTTTTCTTTTAAATATTATCCATTCATAGCTATGGCAACAAGAGGTTGTGTAAGTGACCCAAACATATTCTGTTATGTATGTGGTAAATATGTTGTAAAGAAACAAAAACAAAATATTACAGAATTTGTCAAAAAAGTGTATTACGCGTATTTTGGAATAAAACTTGGGGACCAAGACAAATCATGGGTTCCACACAAAGTTTGCACCATTTATGTCGAAGAGTTGAGACAGTGGACTAAAGGTAAAAAAAAGAAATTCCTTTTGGAATTCCAATGGTTTGACGTGAGTCTAGAAACTACGGAGATGACTGCTATTTTTGCTCATGCAAAGTGCAAGACTACAGTACTCGAAATCAAAAGGAAATTTGTTATCCGAACCTTCAGTCTGCCATAAGACCTGTTGCTCATGGACCTGATGTACCTGTACTTACTCCACCGGAGACTCTTGATACAGTTTCATTTGATTCAGAATCTGATGTCAATAGAAATGATATGGATTGTTTTCAACCTGAAACGTCTAAGAACGTCGGGCTAAGAAATTACTTTCTCTAGGGACAACATTTTACTGGTACAGAAATCGTGAGAAAGAGTTTATAGCACAGTTTTCGCAAGAAAGTTCATTGGTTTATTGCAACAATATTGCTGAATTAATACCAATGCTAGGAGCTGCAGTCTATGAACCAAGTTGATGGCAATTCTTAATTGATTCTTCCAAAAGAAGTCTAAATGGTGTTCTTCTTCACCATGGTAACATATATGCATCTGTTCCTATTGCTCATTTGGTTCATTTGAAGGAAACGTACGAAAATCTCGAACTTCTTCTTGATAAGGTCAAATACAAAGAACATGGTTGGCTACTTTGTGGAGACTTAAAAGTTCTTTGTATGTTGTTGAGTCAACAGTCCGGTTATACAAAGTTTCCATGTTTTTTGTGTGAATGGGACAGCAGAGCACGAAATCAGCACTGAATAAAGAAGCAATGGCCACGCAGAATCAGCCTGATACCAGGATCAGGATACTTTAGATG